GTTGTCCAGATAATTTCTTTCTATCTTTGGTGGAGATGGGGTCTCGCTCTTGCTCAGGCTGGTCTTGAACTCCTGACCTTGAGCGATTCACCCACCTTGGCCTCCCAGAGTGCTAGGATTACAGGCGTGAGCCACCGCGCCTGGCCTATTTGGTACAATTTGACCACCTTGGCCAATTGCTCATCTAATCTGTTAAGGAAGGTTGAATTTAATAAAGAATCATTTTGATGATTCCTTAGACTCTCTTCATTCACTCCTGGATTGTTTGAAAACCTTTCCAAATCTTTCAAAATAGTCCAGCACAGTCTCTTTTGGTGTCTGTTTACAGTAATGCAGGACTTTAGATCAATTGGTGGTCTTACGAAATATCTGGGGTGTTACTTGTACTAAATGATTTGCTAATTCCTGAGTCTTCCCTCAGTCCTCAGCTGTTGCTCATTAAAATTGCTTAGCAGATCTTTCCATCAACCTTCAGTATCCATTCCCTTGCTTTTCTTTCAGATACAGACCTGAGTGGCCAGGTACATAAGATCCTACAGTTAGACTCAACTCCTTAGCAAAACCTTACCTAGAATCCTGGGTAAGATCTGGAAATTCTTTAATAAGGGCTCTGAGTTTAGTCCAGGGGGCATAGGCTATTGAAGATTCTCTCCTCGGATTAGATTTCTCCCTAACGGTGCGGCTAAAACATCTATGGGTGGTGAAGGGAGTGAAAGAAGGCCTGGGCAAGGCAGTTTTGAGAGCACGGGATAGGCAGGTTCAAGAGGAGAAATAGGGGAAGGCGTGGTAGGGAGAGAAGGTGAGGCAGTGGAAACCTGGGATAATTTTTCTAGTTGAGAAAATTTCCAAGATCTTGCGGTTCACCTCCATAATTCTTGAGCCAGCTCTTTCCAATTGTGCACATAATAAACCAATTTGGGGATCCTGAATGAGTCCCATTTGGGCCAAGTTAAACTAATTTCATTTTTTGTGGTGTTGGTCCAATGAGTCAAAAATTCACAAGATGAGGCACCATAATTTTTAGTCATAAATACAGCCAGTGTCTCAGGAGGCAGTCTTCCTTCAATAGTTTCAATTTTAGACATCTTATTTCTCATCTTTCCCTCTCCTGCCTCCTTTGCCTACCAAGCTAAGGACATGTTTAAGGTTGAAGGTGTGCCATTTATGAGCCTCCGTCCTTGGCTCTCACCCCCAAGTTGATCAGCCCCAAGGTGCTGTGGAAAGCTCACCTCCCAGATGCTCCAAATGCCAAGCAACCAACACTTTAGGGGAGTGCACTGCAGGAGCATAGTATTTTAAATGTTCTTCTGCTATGAGGAAGCCCTATAAGACCACTGCAAATCAAGAGGGAGCCCCTTAAACACCTCCACAAGATTCTTAGTTGCCTAGGAATGCCCAAGCTTTGGGCTGGAGGGAGCAAGTGTCCTTTATATATGGAGAAATTTTATCTCAATTGCTTTCATATAGTGTGTGAGGGGTTGGTGCAGACAAGAGATTTGAAAAGAGAACATCCAACTGATTAAAGAAACTACCACTCTAACTGTAGCAATGCTTGGTGACCTTACTTCTTTCCTCTCTTCCTAGCAATTCAGAATAATGCAATAACAATCCTAGGAAAAATTTAGCACACCTAGGATTTACTGCTCCTCTAAATGGTCCTAAAAACATCTCAGAATAAAGTAGATCTAGACCTCTACCACAAAGGGGGCAGTCTAGATTGTAGGCACTCACCACGTACACTTTTACCTTCCCGTCCCCGCTCCCCCTTCCTATGCCAGGAGTCAGCTGGAGTACAGTGGGACTGGTGCTAGTACAAAGCACCTAGTCTGAGAGGATGAGGCCTTGGTGTCCGTGGATCCTTGCTGGAATCCTGTCAAACAGGGGATCTGTTGATGGAAAGGTTAAATAACAGACACTGTAACTTGAAGAAATTTATTTATTTTAGAGACAGGGTCTTGCTCTCTCACGCAGGCTGAAGTGCCGTGGCACCATCATAGCTCACTACAACCTCAAACTTCTGGGCTCAAGCAATCTCCCTGCTTCAGCCTCCTGAGTAGCTGGGACTACAGGCACACGCCACCATGCCCGGCTCATTTTTTCTATTTTTTGTAGAGACAGAGTCTCACTCTTGCTCAGGCTGGTCTTGAACTCCTGGCCTCAAGTGATCCTCCTGCCTTGGCCTCCCAAAGTGTTAGGATTATTGGTGTGAGCCACTGCACCTGGCCAAATATACTGTATATCATGTTTTCCCCTCCCAAATTAGATATTTTTATTATTTTATGCTGTCAATATTGATTTAGATTTACTCAAGTGCTTATCATTTACTTTACTCATCATTACTTCTTACATCTCAGACTTTCTGGGATAATTTTCCCCCTTAAAGAATATCTTTTAGAAGTTCCTTTGGGGAAGCAATTTTGGTGGTAAAGTCTGTTTTTGTTGATGCCTTTATTTCACCCTCATTCTTAGATAATCCACATATAATAGTCTGCATCAAAATTTTTTGAATAATTTAATAGTTAAAAACTGAAAACTATATGTTCAAAGCAAGTGATATGGTAAGCAGTATCTTAATTTTGTATAGCATTTATTAAATGTTATGTCTGAGGGATCTTCCACATGCATTTTCCTAGATTCTCACAATGACCTTAAGAAAAAAGGTACTTTATGATCTTAATTTTGTTTTGTTTTATTTTTTTTGGCAGGTAACTAGAATAAATATTCTAAGAGTGGTAATCACTCACTTTCATTATTCTTTTGGTTCTATCCAGCATCCCTGGCACCTGCTGTCTATGTAACTTACAATGCACCATTTTGATCTCTTTCTCTTTAAGGCTGATTCTTTTTACAAGTATTAAAATTTCTACAGTGTTCACAAAGTCCCATTAGTATAACTTTTAGTTTAAAAGAATTTTTTATTAACCAGTATTCTTAATTCCTTCCAACATGTCAGATAACAAATCTTTTTAAGATAACTAAGTCTTTGGTCTGACGCATTAATATATAATTGATAATTTAAGTTAATATGAAAGTTCATTATTTTTTAATCATGTTCCAAAGGAATAAGTTATAAATCTATGAATAACAGTCCATTAAATTAACTTCATTTATACAAAGGAGAAATGGAAAATCCTATCATAGTCAAGGGTAGAATTCCACTAAGAGCTGCTAAGTTTTTCATATACACTTGTCCCACACACACACTTCACCAGACTAGAGTTTGAGAGGGAAGGTAACTAACATTTATATCTTAAGAGCTGAAAGGAGTAGTACTCTAGTTGGAGAGCAAGAGTCTCAATTTTACTAATCACACACAATGATGGGGGGATAAGTATATTCCCCCAACATATGTTTAACATGTATTGCATATAATATTAATAAAAATACACACAAATAAAAATTGAAAAAGGATAACTATAAAATGTTTAAACTTATATTTATGGTAAAACTATTATTTAGTGAGAGCACTTGGGTGTGAAAAGAAATATGATCCAACATAACTTGACTGCCATTAGAATGACATTGTTTTTAATTTCTTAGTGGGGCTGAAGGGCAAATACTGTAGGAGTGTTGTTAGTCTGGTGACTTTTTATTGTCTGTTTACAGTTCAATTCCTCCTCACCCCTCAACAAAAGTAGTCCCTAGACAAAGATTTCTTGCTTATGAGGAGACGATCCCAGGAGGCCCCACGACAGAGAGGGAAGTGAGAGATGGAAGGGAGGAAGGCACTGAACCATGTGCTAACGAACGGATTATTGCTATGAGCAACTGGGACTCTATCCTACTGGGGTACTCTGAAAAATACCTCAGTGTCCTGTCACTGAGGGCTGAGGAAACCAGGGTATTTATATACCAAATCCTGCTGCTCATTGGTTAGGGAGTGCCCTGCCTGCATCACATGCAGCCCAGCAGGCTCTGGCATCCAGAACACATCCTCAGAAGTCCTGGATTTCTGGAAACTGCAGGTGAACCAGAGTAGGCCCAGGGCACAGGGGTGGGGCACAGACAGCATATGCTGTATCTGCTATGCCTGCATTATGAAGAATATTATCTTCAATCTTTGTTTCTTTGCAGGATTCTTTTTAAACCTTACAAAGGACCTTTGTTAGATAAGTGAATTTACAGTTAAATAGTTCTAATTGAATAGGTAACACATAAATGAACAAAAACACAAGACTACTGTAAATCCCTTCCACTTTTCCCACAAAGTAACTCAGATAACACGCGTGACATGACATTCTGACATACGGATTGAAGGAGACTGCTGGAGTCAATCTGAGTATCAAATATTGATATAATTTAATGTTTTCCTGGATTAAAATGCATAAATATTATGGAATTCCTAAAACTTCCTTCCTCTACCACAATCCATTACCCTGTACCCCCATGAAGTACATGCTCCCCATTCTTACTACCACTGCCCAGGTCTCAGTTGGAAATGATTCAGTTCATGTCAAGGTATGTCTGATCATTCTAAATAGGTAAGAAAATAGTAGTAACATACATTCCTAAGATAGTTTCAGCATTTGTCTAGCACTAATGAGGAGGAGAGGAATATTTCAAAACAAACTTCATAGAGTTCTTTGTGAATATCTTATTTCCCTGTGTTTTAAAAATTATACAGAAACCCAACCATAATGCAACTCCATCTTCAAATTCAGTGTAACTCAGATCAAAACGCTCTGGCATTCCATAGTTTTTGGTGTGAAAGACAGACGAGTAGGTATATCCTTGTTTTCATCCCTTGGGATATAGAAGAAACAGCTCTACAGAAACATTTTACAAAATTCCAGGAGTTACATAAGAGATCAGAAATACATTTAAACTGTCCTAAACAAATACTTAACTGAATTCCAAAAATGTGACACAAAGTTATAAAAGTTCATTTTATTTAGGCTGAAATATGTATATATTATTTATTTAGTTTTTAAAAAGCTTAATACAAAGTTTAATTGTTAATATCACTTTGATTCATCGTCAACAGCCTATAAACAGAATAGTCTGAAGTTTTATTGTGCTAGTTTAAGAAATCCATTCTGTATAGAAATACTGTTATGTTAATTCCCCTACAGTTTAAAACTTTACAATCAAATCACTTTAGCTTACAGAAAAATTTTTAAGACTTGCATAATATCTTGCAAAGGACTATTTTATGATGTATATCAATAAAATTCAACCCCACTTTCTCCAATAGTAAAAAAAAGTTTTTTTGAACTGTTACTTTTTAAACGACGTGAAACTAATGAAAATTGGTTGCTGCTTTTAGAATCATCTTGTTTGGAGAAAAATATTCTGTGTTTTACCACTTGCTGCCACGTCTTACAGAGATAGGGTCTGTAGTCTACATCCACATCACACAGGCGTTTATAGGCAGAAGGCCCTTCTGGTGAGTCTGAGGTTTTTTGCATTATAGTTTGTGTTGTTGCAACAAGAACCAAGCGATACTCATTTACAAGTTTCTCTAAGAACTGAGAACATTTCTTCAGAGTAGCCTCCTGTAAGTTAACACTCTCTCCTCCATTGACACGGTCTATCCAGTAAAAAGCTGACAGGCTATCCAAAATCAAAAGGCAGAGACAGGGGTGACTACAAAACAAGGTTTCTAGTGAATACAGTGTAAGAAGTAAGTGGGTACTACTATTGCAATATACCAAAAAAAGTCTTCCAAGGCAGTATTTTATTATTTCTTCAGAGCTTTGGGATAGTCTATGCTCAAGAATTGTAACAAGCCGAAGCATATCAAAATGGTAATCTGTATCAATAAATAAGACTTCTACTTCCAGTCCACCTTCCGATTTTGGAAGTATACATCGTGCTGTTAAATGATAAAGCATTTCTGTTTTTCCTGTTCCTTCTGGACCGTGAAATTCAAGAATATAACCTGTATGAGATTTAAAAATGTCAGTCAAAACGCAGCTCAACAGTAAGGCTACAAACTGAAAAGTCCACAAAAAAGTTTAAAAAAACATTTACTGGAATGTGAAAGAAAATCTAAATCCATTTGTCAAAGTGGATCTGTATAAGCAAACAGAAATTTATTTATTTCCCTATTTGGAAATTAAAAGTGAATCATTGTATTTCACCCCTGAGAAAGGAGCTGGCTATTAATTAACATCAAGAAAAATTTAAAAACAGAGTGATAAGGTTGACAGGAGCCTAGGGGAATCCCCTCGGGATGGCTCCATATGCACTCTCACTTAAACAGGTGATATTAGAGAGTTAAGAATAATTGTCACAGATCCAGGGCCTTTCAAAGATCTACTGGTTACTGTGGTACATACCATTTCTGGTAGTTGATTACACTATATCCATTCTGCCCCTTTTGATAAAGTATAAAATCCTAATTTGAGGGGGAAAGCAATGTGTCTACCTTAAAAACTATTTTTCTTAGTCTCCCTTACAAAGAGAGGTTATCGGGTAACAAATATAGTTGTAGCCAATGAGAGGCAAGGTGATGTCAGGTGGGGATTACTAGGTTTTGCTTTCCTACGTAAGGGTCACTTCTGCCTTGCTGCTCCCTTTTCTGGAGGT